ACTTGCCTCTACCTTCCATGTACTGGGACTAAAAGCAAGTGCTACTACACCCTGCTGTTGTCAGCTTTTTAAATTAAAAGAAGGTTTTCTTGTCTTTTACGTGTATGAGCATATTGCCTGCATGTGTCATGCGATGCCCTCGGAGTCAGAAGAAGGTGTTGGGATTCCCCTGGAACTCGAGTTACAGACAGTTGTTAGCCACTGTATGGGTGTTGGGAATTGAACCCAGGTCCTCTGAAAGAGCAAGCCAGTGCTCTTAACCGCTGAACCATCTCTCCAGCCCCGCTGCCGGCTTTTTAAGTGGGAAGACTTTTACCTCACTTTAAATTCTGACCTTTTTGCTTTTACTGCACATCTACTTGAGCCTTATCAATGATCAGGTCAGTCTCTAAGTCTTCGCCTTTAAGATGTATGTTTTCTGCCTGTTTCTAAGAAAAATCATACCTTTAAATTCAGAAGTGAAGATTTGGGATTAAGGTTTGCTTAGTGCTGTGAAATAAATAATTGAATCAACAGTAACAGTTGAGCTGGGCATGACGGTGCATACCTTCAGTCCAAGCACTCAGGAGGCAGAGGCAGGTGGATCGCTTTGAGATCAAGACCAGCCTGATCTACACATTGAGTTCTAGGCAAGCTGGAGCTACAGGGAAACTCAGTCTAAAACACCAAAAAACAAAAGCAAACTAACAATTGATGAATCTAAACAAAGTCACAAAATCTTTGTTTTTACTTAATCTGTCTTTATTTGTGACTATGTATGTGTGTCTATCATCTACAAGTGCTTACATTTTTATGTTTACGTATACCAAAATGACTAATAAGAAAGTAGTCCCATGAATGGAAATTGTTAAATTAGTTCAAATTCGTTTTAATTCATGATAAAATTAAAATTATAAAGGGGGAAAGAAACTCTATTTCCAACCGTCCCAAACAGTTAGACTTGGTCACCTATCTCCATATGCAAGTTACAGAAACAGAATAATGGTGAGGGACAGAGAGGACATTTAATTAGTGTTGGCCAGATTAGGGCAATGAATAGAGGGGCCTTAACATGAGCCTTTAGGGGAAAAGAAAACAACAGATATGCATGATTGAAAAGTCCTGATTTGAGTGTTACTTCATTGATCCTTGTCTCAATTCTGTTTATATAAGAGGGTCTAAGAAGCCCCTATTGCTTGAAGGGATTTACTGGTCCTTAGGAGTTGATTACTCCTGCACCAGGGTGTAGCTGTACGCTTATGGGTAATTGCCTTCATCTGGGGTGCTATCGTGTTATTCCAGGGACTGGAAATGTAACCTTCTCTGTGCTTTCAGCTCTCCTTGTATTACTAATATGCTTACCTAAAGATAAGCAAGTAATTCAACGGGCAGTAGACACAAAGTGAACACAGAGATGCCAGAACTGTGTCCTATGTTGTCTGCATCATGAGCCTAAATAAGAAAATAAATGCTTTTTATGTGTATGAGCATATTGCCTACATGTGTGTAAGTGCACCTGTGTCATACAGTACCCGTGGAGGTGAGAAGAGGGCATCAGACCCCTGGAACTGGAGTTATGGATGATGGTCAACTGCCATGTGGGTGCTGGGAATTGAACCTCGGTCCTCTGCAAGAGCAGCCAGTGCTTTTAATCACTGAGCAATCTCTCCAGTCCCAATAAATCCTTTGAAATAAAAGGAGTTTCTAAGTGCCTAACAAATATTTGTTAATTTAAATTGCTGGTGAGAGAAAATAAAGAATCTCCATGACTATAACATGTTTTGCCTATGTTTCAGACATAAATTACTGTATTTAATTAAAATATGAAATTTTTTATTAAAAATGAAATACTTTGGGACTGGAGAGGTGGCTCAGCAGTTAAGAGCACTCACTGTTCTTGCAGAGGACCCGGGATAGATTCCCAGCACCCACATGGCAGCTAATAACTGTCCATTACTCCAGTTTCAGGGGATCTGAAGCCCTCTTCTGACCTCCTTGGGCATTGCATGACATGGGTGCACTTATACACATGCAGGCAAACACTCATACACATAAACACTCATGCACATAAACATAAATTCAAAAATTTAATTTGTAAAGAAATAACAGAAAGTAATTAGAAAAGATATTAAAAGGCATAGTTATAAAATATATGTTTGTGCCGGGCGTGGTGGCACACGCCTTTAATTCCAGCACTTGGGAGGCAGAGGCAGGCAGATCTCTGTGACTTCAAGGCCAGCCTGGTCTACATAGTGAGTTCCAGGAAAGCTGGAGCTACAGGGAGACCCTGTCTCAAAAAGACAAAAAAAATATATTTTTTTTTTGTAAAGAAGGTTAAAGAGAAAAGAAAATGCTTTCAGACTAGAAAGGATTGTAGTTTTGTTCTAAAGTAAGGAGTGTTTCAAAATGCACAGAAGAAAAAGTGAAGACAAAACCAGAACCATTAGCCCATTGTAAAAGGTCTCAGTTTAAAAGAATATTTATGAGATAAAACTTGATGAAAGATGGTATTGTGTGATTAAGTTTATAAACAGGGTGAACAAGATTATGGTCGCCGGCTGTGGCTGCTCTCCTCTGGCTATGGCCGCTCTCCTGCTCTCTTAGTTCCTCGTCCAGACCCCAGGGCTGGTGAGGAGACTGTGTCAGCAGAGCCGCATTCAGACACAGGAGACCAGGTTCAGTGACACAGATCTGGTTTATTGCAGGAAGGCACAAGCTTATATAGGGGTAGTGGTCCAATCACAGCACAGCAAGTAGTTTAAAGGTGAGGTATCCAAGGGTGGTGATTAGGGAGTGGCGAGCTCTAGGCATCAGTCTCATGATCTGCCAATGGGAGCAAAATGCCACAAGGCATTCCTTGTGGCTCCAGCAGTCAGGCCATTGCCTCAGGCCTGCTGTATGGCTGTGAATAAGACTTTCACCCTAGGCTCAAGCCTGTCTCCCACACAAGATGGCTCAGTGAATAAAGGAACTGATGATGCAAGTGTGATGACCAGAGTTCCATCCCTGGCAACCTCTTAAATGTGGAAGGGGAGAACCAACTTTCCAAAGCTGGCCTGAATTCTGTATGCACATTGTGGCAGTTCCCCCCACCCAATAATAAAAATGTAAATGTACCATAAATTCAAGATTATTTATAAAAGTCTAACTAACATCAGGTGTGGGTCTCTCCTTCCCCTCGTGGGCCGTTGGCCACCAGCCCACGAGAACAAAGGGGCAGGGCAGGCCTGGTGGTCAAGGCTCCCTGAGCTCAGGGGGCTTTCATTCAGTTTGTTTCCCATTAGCCTGGGGCAGCAATGTGGATCAAGTCCCTACTGCATGCCATGTCTCTACTGCACTTTGGCACACAAAGGCTTCTCTTCATGTGGCAGCTTTTGTGGCTGCTGACCCAGGTTGCTCCCATTTCAGAGTGGACCAGAAACCCAGTCCAGTTGACTTCAGAGCCCCGGACACCAACCATGCTCTGGTCTTGGCACCCTTCTGATCATCCACTGAAATCCCACCATACATGAAAATCCAGGACAGACGCAGGGGACATTGATTACCTGGGGTCCTCTGCATCCTCAGAGATGTCGGCACCGCTTGAAGAGTTGACTGATAGTTTATTTGCTTACCAGGATCCCACTTCTCTGGAGTCGTCCACAGAACCAGATGAATTCACTGTTTCACCTCAGGATCTGCACAAGAAGCAAACACTGCCTGGAAGCAGCCAGAGAACATTTTAATGTTAAATGGAGATCAAATTCAGGTCCCTGTTCTGCATTAGCAGTTCAGAAGTACTGCTGGTCTAGATCAGACTACAGATCACCAGTTGTATGAAATACTTGTTCCATCACTAGACAATCAGTACAAAAGCAACAAAGTCCATTGTTTCACCCCAGGACTTGAAGAAAGATCTAACTCGGCACAGACCACTCGCTGAAGTAGTTGTTGGAAAAACTCAGCTTCAGAAACAAATCTCGGAGGGTGATGTTGAAGATTCAAGTATGAATGAAGCTTATTCGGAGAGCGTACCTCTGCAATCCCAGGCAGACATAGGTGAGCCTCCAGAACGCCCTGAGCAGTTTGAACCATCCCGCTTCCAGGTGAAGACCCAAACTCACCATCCAGATCATTCCCAGGCAGAAACTCTAGATTATCTTCCACAGCCCCCTGATCAACATCAACTCGATTCTGAGGCATCAATGCATCCTGAGAACAATGATCCATTTCCAAACAGAAATGAAGCTGAGCACTCAAACTGGCCAAATGTCACAGCGAAACCCACAGATCTTGAGATTACAGTAACTTCAGAGGCAGAAAAAGAGGCCGAAGCCATTTTGAGTCAGCAGCAGCGGGCTCCAGTCCAGCTTCCAGAGAGTCCTGAGGAGGTAGGACCCTCATCAGTTCCACAAGAGGCCCCAGGTCAGACCTCAGATTTTCCTGAAGACCTTGAAACTTCTGGAAGTCAGCTGGAAGTTCCAGCTCTGCCTACAAAGCTCCCTGAAGAAGTCAGTGCTCCCGTTGAGCAAGAGGCTTCAGTTTCAGGTCCAGATTCCTCTATACAGAATACAGTCGAAACTCCAACAGCAGTTCAAACTCCCAGTCAGGAACAAGTTCACCATTATAGTTTTCCAACTATTACAGTTAATCCTGCAGATGTGGAACGTACAGTAACTTCTGAGCCTTCTCCTAGTCAACAACAGCCACCAGTTAAACCTTCTGTCTCCTGAGGAAGTTGAATCTTCTGAACAGTATCTGGAGTTCCCAGTTCAGCCTCAAGACAATGCTGAGGAAGTGGAGTCTTTTCCAACACTGCAGGATGTTATCCCATCTCAACATCCAGGCCCTCTTTTGGAGGATGAACCTTTTAGTGAACTAGAGCAGCCAACTCAACCTTCTGAATCTCCAGAGGAAGTGGAATCAGGTTCTGGAAACCAGCCAGAAGCCTCATTTCAGCCCGCAGAGCACCCTGAAGTAATAAAACCTCCAA